TGGCCTCCAACCTAGTATAGCGATGGCGTCCAACCTCATAGCGATGGCATCATAGACTCCAGCCTGTTAGTGATGGCCTCCAGCCTAGTATAGCGATGGCCTCCAACCACATACTGTAGCGATGGCATCATAGCATCCAGCCTAATAGCGCTGGCCTCCAACCTAGTATAGCGATGGCCTCCAACCTCATAGCGATGGCATCCAGCCTAATAGCGCTGGCCTCCAACCTAGTATAGCGATGGCCTCCAACCTCATAGCGATGGCATCATAGCCTCCAGCCTGATAGGGATGGCCTCCAACCTCATAGCGATGGCATCATAGCCTCCAGCCTAATAGCGCTGGCCTCCAACCTAGTATAGCGATGGCCTCCAATGTCATGGCGATGGCATCATAGCCTCCAGCCTAATAGCGCTAGCCTCCGACCTAGTATAGCGACGGCCTCCAACCTCTTAGCGATGGCATCATAGCCTCCAGCCCAATAGCGCCGGCCTGCAACCTGGGCCTAGTATAGCGATGGCCTCACTACTGACCTCTCTCCCTACTCAGATCGGGATGCGATCGTCCCAGGATGCGAGTGTTATGCAATGCACGTGCCAGCGCCAATGCTGCGCAGAATGAGGGCTGGGCGCCTTTGCACATCGCCAGCCGCCATGGTCACGCAGCTTGGTCAGCTGGGAGCGCTCAACGGCCAGGGGCCTGTCTCCCTAGGCCAGGAGAAGTTTTCGTGTGTTTCATGGGTGAAATGCGTAAGATCCCTTCCCGTGGCTTCAAACTGGCCCTGTTGGTATGCCAGTTTGGCGCAAGCACCCGGTGGTTGGCACTCCACAGGGAAGCCAGCCATGGCTATGCTCCCGTTTCACCCTGACCAGGTGTGTTTGGGGCTGCCAGGGTGTGTCCTAGGCGTTGTCACTTAAGGTAAGATCTCTTTATTCAATGATTTTCAGTGAGTCAACCTGGATCACTGCGAGACTGGCATGAACTTGACCCAACCTGACCCACCCTGAAGCTTAGGCCCATGTGGTGCAGTTTCTGTTGGAAGAGGCTCGCGTCGATGCCGATGTTCGTGTGGACGCCGGCTGGACTGCCAGCAACATTGCGCTCTGGGCAGACCATACCGCAGTCCTAGACATCTTGGAGCAGTATGCCCCACGGTCCCTCTGGCAAAGCTGGACGGGTTTCTGGAGGCATTTGTTTCGGACGTGCCGTCGAAGAGCGAAACAAGGCCGGGCAGTGGGGTAGGGTGGGACCGAACCTGTTGAAGCACCTCCTTGGTGATCTTGTGCATAGGGCACAGGTGATCATGTGTTATTCATGATCAGCGGTGAAATGACTTTCCATATATTGGATATATTTTATCACCTTGGCAGCTTTAAAAAAGCTCTTGACTCATGACACATCATGAAAGCTCAGAAATGGCGACAGACACCACCTATGGCAAGCCTTCCACCTCTCTTTGAAACTCGTTGGGTTGCAGGGTTTTCACTGGCTGCGCAAATCCGTCGCAGGGTTCAGGTTCAAGTTACCGAAATGGGCCACTCGACATTTCTGAACAACATGCCCCAAAAAAGGTGAGCCGTGAACAAGCTCAATGAATCCGAAGCACGGGGTCTAGTTTGGCCTATACAGTCTGGTCGGATGGATCATGAGGAATCTTCAACTTCTTGGAGTTGGTCGTGAGACATCCTTCAAATTCCTTTTCATGCTATGAAGCGCCACCCTTCATCCGCACTGGATCCCAGCTGGGGTCTGTGAAGCACTGTCATAGAACGCAACAAAATCCGCTAGAACACGCTTGGAACACTGAGAAGATCGTTGCACCGATGGCCGACCTGCGACCTGGGCCATTGATGGCCGTAAGAAGGCCAGCGAGGCCATGGTTTCGCTTCCGACCGGTTTTCGCCCGTGAAGCCTTCACTGGTGGCACGAAGCACTGAACTTGCAGATCTCTTGGAATGTGATCTTCACCTGGAAGTTCAGAACTGTGATTAAGGGAAGACCATCATCTTAAGTTCAGAACTGTGACACCACCTCTTTGTGGCACTCTAAAATGGACAGGTGGCTTTGAACCATGCCGGGGCATGCGCATCGAGGCTCGGTTGCGCCACTTCCGGGATGTTTTTTGGTGCTCCGAGAGAGTTTTGGGGTCTCTCTCGGAGTGGTCGTTGTTTGGCAAGAACGTCGTGTGGCTCCCACAAGAGAAAAAAAGAGGGACTTGACTCAGGACTGCAGATTCGAATCTAGCAACTCTCAGTCACAGGGGGCCCGAGTAGGATTCCCACCGACTGTTCGACGGTCGTGCGAGCGCACAGGCAGTTGCACGGCTAAGTGCCAATGAGTTGGTGGAGTTGGCCCGTACTCGTGCCTCAGCTCCAACGGTTCTTTGCTCCGAACTCCGTGATGGGCAGGTTGATTGTGACATATTTGGACTTTGACCCCCGGGAGGATTATCATGTCCATGTTAGATGGGAGTACCTTTCATCACTCATGTCACGTGTAGCCTTTGCGAAGCTCACATTCTCGACGTACAATGGCCTTTGACGACAGTTTCCTTTTGCGGCCCCAGTCTGGATGGCCGAGGTGCCTACCTCACAAGCTACAGGAAGGTGCCTGCAGCACCTAAACTGGCCAATGCACTGCAAGGTGATGGGTCAGTGGCAGTGGAAAGTCACGAAAGCTCGTTCAAGCCGGGGGGATGCCTGAGAACAACAGATTCAGCCACCGATACTGATCAGACAAGCTTAAGCTGTCCCTTGCGGTTGAGTCAGCGTTGATGATGCAGTGACAAGTCACCAGAGGTGACTCGGGCATAACGTTAACTAGGTGATGGTTTCGGATATTTCTATTCTCAACTCTTACTTGGGGATGATTGGACCCTCTGACTCATATCTTTCAAGTGGGTTGAACACACCAACCAGTTAAGTTTGCAGTTTGCTGTTACGGTTCGTGAAGCATCGGTGCCACATGGTGCCACATTTGTGCAACCGATTGCTTTAGCTCCTAGCCTTCGTCGTTCACCCGCGCTGTTTGACCTGTACTGCAGTTTTGCAGCCTTTCCTCAGTTAAATATGGAACCCGCAGGCCTTCAAACCATTGGCATCCATTTGTGCAAAGGGTTTACGAAAGCACGATAAAGCATGTATGGCATCAATGCCTTGTGACACAGTATAGCGAACATGTTTCCGCTTCAGGCGAGCTTGAGGTGAGGCACTTGAGCTTGCAACAGGCGGGCCCGGGGCTGGAGGACGTTTCCATTGGTTCCTGAAAGCAGTTGGATGTGCACGAACAAGCGGAATCAAGCCTTTGAACACTCGGCTGTATCAGGAAACCAGTCAGCCGCGTTTCGTGCTTGTTGCTGCTGTTGCTGTAGTGGTGGCAGTGGTCGTCGTCCACCGTCATTAGCATTGAGTTGGGCACGCCAGCCATGGATACAAGGAGCCAAAATAAATTTCTTAAAGAAAACCAAAGACCCAAAAAACAAACAAACGGTAAAGCAAACCAAAAAGCAAACATGCAGCTGTGCGTGTTTGTCGTTTTTTGTCCTTATTTATGTTCGGATTGTTTTCGCTTTATTTTCGCATTAAGTGCAGAAGTGGTACGTTTCTTGTTTTATTTTTTTGCGCTTATGTCTCTCACAAAAACAGTTACGGTTGGTCATGTATGGCTGCCATTGCTCAACACAACATTAGCATGGTTCTCATCATGTTGTCAAAGGACGTGTGATTGAGTGGCATCAGGGGTGTTCAGAAGTGCCACATGGGACGCTCACCATCCCTTTTTCCTCTTTTTGCCGGTTTCCAGCCACCAAGCTCGACCCGCCCCAGGCGACCAGCTTGTTGCATGCTTCCTTGCAGCTGGTGCCGGACGCTGCACGCAGAGACTGGCAAGGGTCAAAGAGACCTGGAACAGTTGGAGTTCTCACCCTATGGACTCATAGAGCCCTGCACACTCCCCATCGGCCACCGGACCCTCACCAGTACGAACGGACCGGATGGACTCGCCATGCCGTCACTGGGAAGTTCGAGCCATTCCATGTGGATGTTCGATCCAAGGATGCTTCAAGACCTGGCAGAGGAGACGGTGAAGGGCCAGGCCCTCCGGAACGATGTCTCACGCTCCTCGTTCCCCGTTGGACGAAGGTCCCCATTGATGTGCCACAGCCAATGGTCTTTGGCTTGCTGTCATGGAGTGAGCCCATGAACTTTGTAGAGCTCCAGTTCTTTTTGCCTCGCCCATCGGACCCATCGCTCTCCAGGATGCAGCAGCAGCAGCTGCTCTCCTCCAAAGTCATGCTTTGATCTACGGGAATAAGGAGGCGTCCGACGGCATGGGTTCGGCGAGTTCACCCATGGGGTACCAAGGTACCCATGCCATGGCCCCTGGTGAATCCACATTGAAGGGCGAAAGAAAAGAGATTTGGTTGTAGAGAACGCATTACACTGTAAGAACTGATGAATTGCTGAGCCAAGAGGCCTCCTGACCTTCTTGCTGTCTCAAGCTACTCACCGAATTGCACCAGCTTCGCACGTTTCATGCTGCCAACTGACCCCAAGCCCCGCGCGAGGCCTCCAAGTCGCCCCTGCCAGTGCAAAGCTTGTGCCTCCGACTGGCGCCCTTGGCCTTCCGAGGCCCGATCCGGAGAGCCGTTTGGGACTTTTTTCGGCCCCCACCTGGTACAGGGAAGAAGTTCGGCTTTCTGCGTGGCCCTGACTCGTGCTTCTCGTCCTTCTTTTTGGGCCTTCAAGCGCGGGGGGGGCCTTCGGGCCTTCATCTTCCCTCGACCGGTCGACGGCGGTCCGACAGACCAACCCCACCGACCTTCAGTTTCGGTCCGGCCGGGGTGAGGCGAATCCATGCCAGACGTGCCCCTCAAAGCCTTGGAGACCTTGGAGGTCACCTTGCCCCAATCTCTACAGCAGGCGTTGGCGCGACGCGCAAAGGGCGGGAGCGAGGTGACGGTGGGGTGGCGGACTCCTCTTTTTTTTCTCACCGATTCGCGCGAAGTCCGCTATAGGTGTCCCTTTCTTAAGGTGAGGGGTGAACACCAAATCGTTCCTTTTACAGAAACGTCTGAACATGTGGCAGCATCATGCAGCATCTACTTAAGGTGTGGCGATGTCCACTTACCACCACAATTCAGTTACCTCTGCCAGCCCTGCCAGCTTGCACTGCCTGAGGTGGCGGTTCATCACGTCCAGCAAAGCATCAAGGCTGCGGGACCTGGCTTTGGGCAAGCGCTGGCCATGCTGTGGCAGCAAGGAGTTGTCATGGAGCCATTGTTTCGGCGGATGCCTGGCTCACTTCAGCACGTTGTTCGGCGAGACAACGGATAGTGTGAGTGTAGTGTAGGCTAAGACTGACTGAGACACCCAGGGCTGCGCAGCAAAGTGCGCCGGAAGAGGCTGCAAGCCCAGAAAACGGACGTGGAAGGTTCATGACGATTCTAGTGACTAGTGGTGTTTTGAGGGTCGAGTATTGGAGCCAACTTTAGATCTTCTTTGGACACCAACTGGTGATGCAATGCAGTCACGGTGCAGGCCATGTGTGGAAACAGCACCGTCACCATGTTTGAACTAGCTTCCAGCACTGTCAGGGTGTGGCACATCACCATCACCGCGCCGTCCTACGCCTTCACATGGCTCCTTTCTTTTTTTCGTGGGTGTTGGCACGTATACATTATACAGATGAAAATATATGAACATCATGAAAACCATCCGGAGGGCAAGCGAGAATTCGTCGTCCACATCCACAGAAGCCCAAAGGTTTGAGGCCAAGTCACTTTTTCAGAGAACTTGTTGGAAAAGCCTCGCTAGGGCGTTCACAAAAGAACCCACATCACTGGAGCGGAGGATTGCGGCACACTTGGTCCCACTGATCTTCTGGTGGCGCCACTCCGTGCAGATGGAGAAGGCAGAGGCCTCTCTCAGCAGGTGCCAGTTGGATGAAACGTTCGGGAAACTGGGCGGTCACCGGAAATTGAGATTTCACAACTTCTTGACTGGTAGTACAACGGGTCGTAGATGCAAGCAGTTTAGTAGCCAGCATTTGGGTTCGGTTGCTTAGCCCCCTGTTCGGGCCATGAAGTTTAAAGAAACCACTGCTCACTTCAGGGTTCCTTTCTTCTGCTCCTTTTCCATCTTCACCCAACTGCTCTCAGTTCGATGCGGAGCTTGATGTTCACCCAGATCGTCGAGAACCGTGCGGTTTGGGACGTGGGCCTGGTCCAAGAAGTGCAGAAGAAG